CTCTCGCAATAAAAAAATTGTGCCCCTCTCAAAATGGAAAACTGGTTTGTAAAGAAATAATAGTGCTCCTCAGGCTTTTAAAATGTAATGCAAACATTTTTAAAAGTGTATATCAATGTTGGTAGTAAATTTTGCTCCAAGTAACATGTATTCCTTGAAATGAGAACGAAAATAGTTCCACAATTTTCTCCTCTTTCACACCGCCGGAAGGTGCCTTTTTCTGAGCCAATGCCTCTTTTTGGTGATGCCCCCAGTTTGAAAAACGTTTCGCCGCCGCCGATTGGCGTATTAAATGTGCAGGTGTTAGTAAAAATTATACTCGCTTGTTAAGTACACAATACGACCCCAATTTAGATCGTTCAGTCGCCAAAGGTTCATGGATTTGCTTTATTTCATCTCAAAAGCCTTTTCATGACCGTAGACTTGAGTCAAGGCGTATGGCAACCCGAACACGAAAAAACAAAGACCATGCGGGTGGCAGGCTCGTTGGCTCCGTGCGCCGGCATCAGGGGCGTAATTCCCGGGGTGGGGTTTGGGTGGGGGTATATATCCACCATACTTTTTGACCCGGGGATGGGCTATTGAAGCATCCCCCACTTTTTGTGTTGAGAAAAAATGAGGATTTTGAGGTATATTCCGAACGTCCTAGCAACTAAAATGTACTCAATAGCACTTTAAAGTGGAGAAACAAAGTACAAAAGCTTTTTAAAAAAAAAGGAAGCGCGAGTATACATACTTGATAAAGAGCGTCCCAGTATAATGTGGAGTCCAGCCCCCCCCCCCCCCCTTCGAATGTCCACGGCCAGGCAGTTCGGGCGTTTCATGTGCCACCAAAACTAGTGTTTGCCACGGAGAGTTCATTTTTTCCTAGTGCATTGTGGGAGATGGTCGACAAATTCGCCGTGCGGGGCATTTGAATTTGTTAGTTTTTTTTCCGGTCAGTAGTTTCGTAAGCGTATGATTCGAGTATAAATTGGACTTTTTCTTTTCTTTGTATCAATATGGTGTCTTTAGTAAGGCGGCAGAACGCTATGACCAAATTTAAAGCCAATTAGCTAAAGTTGTTTAATGACACTCATTCAAATGGGCCTTGTTTTGTCGACCGTTATTTGAAAAACTGACTTCCTCGGGCAAACTCTTGGTGGCGCAATTCATTGTGAATCCCCCGAATTTTATGATTTTGGTCATCCCTCATTACCCCCCCCCCCACTCGCCGGTACAGATTTACGCCACTGGACGTCATTGCACTCGCGTGGTCAAGATTCTAATCATGCCACCGGCTGACGTTAATGTGACATTGTTATTATAATGGCATCATTCCATAGACTTAATTCCCTAGCGTAAGTACAAGAAAAGATGAATTTTCCCAAGGATTAATTTGAGCTAAGGGATCTGATATAGAATCAGACAAACAAAATTCCCTCGTAAATATTTGTTAACAGGTCAGTAGATTGATATAATAATGAGGTAGGGGAAACTATGTAGAATTTCTCTCAATCAGCGCGACATGTCAGTGCCGGCTGAAAGACGCGCGACGCAAAACAATTGATGAGACAGAATAAAGACGAGCTTGGTTTGGTTTATTGCTCGTAGTGACTCTGAATAGTCATTTATTTGGTACATAAGTGATTGTAGAAAAGAGTTACGTAACAGCATTCATGCGTATAGCGCGATGCTGATGCATCTTTCGTGCAGCTATGAAACACAAAGTAACTCTTCCGCTGCGGAAATAATTATTATGTTTTAAACGCAAAGAGAAAAGCACTTACTGAACAGCCTACGGGTTCAGCTGTCTGACAGTGGATCCGGGGTAAGGGGTGCGAACCTGCTTGGTGTCATCTTTTGGTTTTCGCTGCCCGCGGTTATGTCATTTAAGAGTATTAATTTACCGTCGTCATTTACCAACAGCAGTTAGCGGTCGGTCGGTCGGTCGGTCGGTCGGTCGGTCGGTCGGTCGGTCGGTCGGTCGGTCGGTCGGTCGGTCGGTCGGTCGGTCGGTCGGTCGGTCGGTCGGTCGGTCGGTCGGTCGGTCGGTCGGTCGGTCGGTCGGTAAGCTGACTCACAACTTACAAGTTGGGATTGTCTGCGAAGTCCAGGTTGGCGTCTGCGTATAGGTACGGGGATCTTTTGCTGACTCGACAGCAAGGCTTAGGGTGCCACCTCGTTTCCTCCCTTTATGGTGCCTGACTTTTGAGTTACATGGATGGACATGGAAGGAGGTGTGGTGGGCCGGGTACCGAGTCCCAGAAGAGTTCTATATGGAAGTCGGTAAGGGGCTCATTGAGTTAGGGTCATAAGTCCGACTCCTGAAGACTTGGCCATCGCCACATAACTTTTTGTTTTATTTTCTTTCTTTTTTTCTATCGGAGGACAATTGCAAGAATGATTAATTTGTTATATTGAGAGCGTGTACTGTAATCGTTCGAAATTAATTTTTAAAATTGCTCGAAAATACAAAATCCAGCTATAATTTGTTGCAAAACTGCATGTACATGATCAGTACCTTTGCGCATACCTTGTCCTTTGCGTATACCTTGTACAGGCCTGTTCCCCGATCCCAGACAGCAGGTGGGGGGGGGTCTTTAAATCCTATATTGTGATTTTTTTTATATGCGAGCGTGAAGCCCTGAAGGCGTGGGGTCCGGGGATGCTTAAGAGCCCTGGGAAATGTTTGGATTGCAGATGCTCTGTGGCGCAAATATCAAAATTGTAGCATGACTCTCTATCGAAATATGCCTTCGTTATAATGAGTCGTCACTAATAAGAATCAGCTCAATTCGTATTTGTGCGAACAAGCACGTGGTTGTGTTTTGCACAGCTGTAGCTGTCAACCACCGGCAGTAGCGTTCCCAGGAATTTTTAAGTGGGGAGGGGGGGGGGGGGGGCGCGCTGTGGGGGGCTGGAACATTTCATTGGGGGGGGGGCGTCATGTAGATCAATGATAATTTATTAGAAACTCAAAATCTCAGTGGGAGGGGGGCGACTGGGGGGGGGGGGGCGACTGGGGGGGCGACTGGGGGGGCCGACAAGGTTTCATGGGGGGGGGGGGGGCTGTCGCCCCCCACGCCCCCCCCCTTCCCGTGGCTACGCCACTGACCACCGGATATGAAGCTACTTCGCGCGGCAGATTGTGCCTTCATGACAGAATGTACTATCTTTTGCCATGCATTTTAAAACCTGATTTTAGCTTCGCGCAGTTTTGAGCAGTGGTGTTTATTATTTACATTCTCCTCTTTGTTCTTATTCCCTTTTCCTTTCCCCTTCCTTCTCCATTCTTCGGAACACTGGTGCCTACGAAACACTTAATCTGGGCCTGAGAATATAGACAACCATATGATTTGTTTTCGTTTTACTGAAAGAACACTACCCATTTTGTGATCCGTGGACAGAACCTTAAAACTCTGGTTGTGTTTAAAACTCTGTCATATCTTGAAACAGTTCCTGAAGAATCTCATGATCAAAATGGATGCGTGTATGATCAGTTAAAAACAAATGAAACTTTTATCAGAGGAGGAGGTAATTTATTTTAATAAACAATAATTAATTGTAATCACATTGGAATATTTTGACTATTACAACTCCCATAGAAGCGATTTATACCAGAGTGAGCGAGAAGAGTTGTCAACACTTTTTGGAATGATTTCATGCCATGAGTGCATGCTACTGAAAACCTGAGAGTTTGAAAGATTGAACCCAGAAATGAAAATGGGTCCTTTAATGGCTCGCTGACTAGGGCCTATTATCTAAAATCACGCCATGTTTCCATAGTCCAAAAACTGAAGTGTTTACGGCGTTTATACGAATGTTTACATAGTCTGATGCTGATGGCTAGATGGCCAAATATAATTGGGTTTTCCCGCATCGGCTTCCGTTCCGCGGCCGTTTGAGCTTCGGGAGAGTTCGAAGCCCCTGACTAACGGGAATCAGGCTCAATATGTACTGGTTTTGCTTTAGTAACATTAAATCGAATAACAGGAAGCCAAAGTTTTCAAGACTATAAACCCGCTGGTGGCATTGGAAATGTTAAAAGTGATTATGTAGTCGGAGAAGAAGCCACATCTGTAAACTAATCCGTGGTTTGGAAAACCCCCAAATACGAACCCATGATCTGGTGTCCTGCCTCGCCATGTACTAACCAGTTGAAACAAGACCAGGTCAGGTGTAGTCTGTGCTACCTTGCTAGGACGCATTTAATACCAAAAGGAAAATAATTATGCACATCACGAGTGAAGAGTTAAAGGGCCCAATGCAAGGTAATTTGTTTAATGCAATCCTGAAAACGCACCTCTGTTTGCCATTCAACCTTATTTTAAATTTCCGTTTTGCCGTTTTCAATGGTATTTTGGTGCCTTTTGTGTTTTTAGGCTAATGAGAATTCCATATTCATGAGCAAAGCTGTGATGTCGTTCCGGGCAGAAATCCCAATGTTACATTCATTTCAGCTCAAAAACTTGCTTGAATTTTGGACATATTGCTGTCGTAAAATTTTCTTTCCTTTGGCTATTCCTTGTTGTGTCAGTACATGCCTACATGGCAGTAGCCAATAAGCAAACCATTCTCACAAATGTTGTCAATGAGGTATTTTCCTTTGCTCGCCACACCAAACCATTTCTAGAAACTACTAAAACATTGACAATTACTGTTGTAAACGCCAGTCAGTTTTTTCGTGGAAAAAGGAGACCATCGACACGATGGATCCGAAGACAATCAAAACAGACACATGAAAGTCAGAGATAAACAGCAATGACATTTATTCATTTCAAATGAGGGTCACTATTGTAACTTAATATCGAAGGATTTGTTGAATCATGGACGCTTTCCAGCTACTGGAGTGAGCTTGTGCAATACTGTTCATAGACTCATGACAGTGGATGTGACTTTGAACATAGTTTCATAATGAATTGTTCACAGATCCCGTTCTATTTTAGAAAATGCATTTCTTAAACTAGAATAATGCATTTCTAAAACTAAACAGATTTTCTCTCTTCTTTTTTTTACAGTAATACCAAACATGTAAAACAGAAACTGCAGGTCTTTGTCCGGACTCCCTCCTCACATCAGTCCAAGACACTGTATTTCGAACTCCATCCTGAGACATTCGTCGCATCTCTCAAAGAAACTATCCAGAAGAGGATCGGTGTGGAGGCACGACATCAGCGTCTATACATCAGAGAAATCTTCCAGGTAGGTATACTTTCATTAATAATACCGGTACGGATAAGTTGTTCAATTTGAAATATCAACACCTAGATTTTCGCATTGCGGTATTTTAGAAAGGATAATGTAGAATGCAAGATCTCATATTATTTTCATGTTTTAAACACTATTTTCAAAAAAATCACAACCCCTCCCTCCACACTATAAAAGGCTTCAACGAACGTAATTTGCTGGAAGTTTGAATGATTAACATCTTATCCTCCCTGTTTCTCCTGATTATGTAATTCACTTTCTTACATTGTCCATTTTGTTAGCTCTGTGACTTGCTCACACTTGAGGAAAATGGTGTCGACAAGAAGGAAATCATCTCTCTCCGGCTGTCAATGGAAGACACCAAAGGTAAATGATAGAGGTTGAGGAATAAATGTTCAAGAAAATAAACAATCTGAATCTTAACTATTAATAAAGAACAAGAGTCGTTTTTTGTAGCTGATGTTAATAAGTTAATAAGTTGTAAGTAATAAGTGAAAATATTTCACTGAAGTTAAAAGTTTATGGTTTTGGCAGATAAAGCTAACATTGATGATCAGTATCTCAAGGACTTGTCATCAAAAACTGAATCGTCGTGGAAGGAATTGGCTAAACACCTAGGATTTGAAGAAGGGGAAATTGCAGACATCCAAACCACCAACGAAGGCAGCACTGAAGGGAGCCGTCACATGCTACTCACTTGGTGGGAAAAGACGACAAATCGCGACGAAGCAGCTCAGAAGCTGAGACGAGCATTGGAGGCCATTGGGTTGACTGATTTGGCCCAAAATGTACCGGGTGAGCTAAAAGTGAAAACTAGACTTACGCTGTATTTTTCAGGACACAAATAAGAATTGATGAGGTACCACACGCTCTTTTTTGTACGGCAAATAAGCTATTAAAAAACTATCTTGTTTATTTTTAAACAAATTAAAAATGTAAAAATAAGTGAAAAGCCATTTGTAAACAATTCTATGCACTCTGTTTTCTTCCGTACATCAGTAACAAGCGAATCGAGGGACGAAGCAGCTGGACCCGAGCTGGAAAGACGTCAAGATGCAGGAGTTGACGAGGAGAGCAAACAAAACGGGGCGGCATCAACTGAGGAAGAGAAACTGAAAAAGGAACGAGTTGGTGATGAAGACAAACCTGGACTTATCAGGTAACTTACGATTAAACGCTGCTTTTCGTACTGCATCTCGTGTTTGAAGAATTTTACCCAAGCATCAAATCTGGGAGTTTTTTTGAGATAAATATAACTTCTTTGGAGAACAAAATGTCCCCACTTAAATAATGGCGTAGAGAATGATTATACTGTTATGGTCTTTACCTTTATTCTTTGCCTTGATATGCCAATTCCAACCATTAAGAAGTTTGCCATCAGAACTTTTTTCTGACAGTCGCAGATATGTGCAGGTCTTCATAAGTAGTCATTGCTCACATAGACCGAAGATAATGTGCTTGCAAGTGGATCCAGAAACATCTGTCTTGCTCTTAAAAGTGATAATAAGCGAGAAAATTGGTGTGCATCCTCAACAACAGCGAATGTTCATCCGAAGAAACTTTCGTAACTTTGAGGTAAAATTGGTTCCATATTTCACAAAGTAAACATGTTAATTAAATATACCAATCAGCATTTCATCGAATTAAACGGCCATGCATTGTGGGTTCAGTGACAATCACTTCTGATTCTAATGACATTAGTCGTGTACAGATAGTGCTGCTTTTGATGTCGGCACAATGGAGTTTACGCATTTAAGTTCAAGAAATTTAATAGATGTTGGTTTTACCCCCACCGATTTAGTTTCAAGGTGAAAATGCACCATAAAAAAATGCATAATATATTTAGTTATTGTACCAGCCTAGTGGAACCTGAAACCCCAAACTGTCGTTTAAACCTTTAAGCCTTTAAACCTCGAAAAACGTGTCCTTTAAGAACCTTCTTTCTTTTGCCAGCTCCATAACTTGCTGACACTTCACGACTGTGGAATTCATCAGGACGAGAACATCTCACTCCGTCTGTGTACTGATGGCCTACTAGGTGGTGGACCAAAAGGTAAATGCTTAAGGGAAACATTACCTTTCAAGATGGAGAAAAACTGTGGGCGTTTAGCCCTCATAATATAGCTGGGAATGCCACATCCGATCCTAGATCCTCCAACTAGATTAATGTCACGGGAAAAGAGCGGTAAAACGGTAGATGCTCTATATATTAGCGGTAGTACATGTATTTGGATGTAAATAAATGTCACCACCCCCTTTTCCGATGTTATTCAATAAAGACCAACACAAGAATTAGCAAAAACTTAAGAAAATCAGATTTATTATTTGTTTGCTTTTTCTTTGTGTTTATTTTTTCATTTCTTTTTTTCAAAATTTCAAACGAAAAGGCATCTATTGCATTGTAGTAACGAAAAGGTTTTTATTCTATTTGGCAGACAAACACCCTGTTGATGATCAGTTCTTTCGCGACTTTGCTTCAAAAACTGTATCATTCTGGGAACAGTTGGCCAAATCCCTGGGATACGGAGAAGACGAAATCAGGCAAATCCAAACCACCAACCAAGACAACAACGAAAGGAGCTTAAGGATGCTACTTTCGTGGTGGAGAAAGCAAGCAAATTGCAAAGAAGGATTTCAGAGTTTGAGCGATGCGTTAAAGTCAATCGGGCGTGCTGAGCTGGCTTTAATGATTCCTTCTGAAGAGCAGCGGAGGATGAAACAGGAAGAAGTTGCAGAAGGGGAGAAAAGGAGAACATCATCTCATGGACGCGGACCAAGACAGGAGGAAGGTACTCATCGAGACGAGCCTCAAGCAGAGGTTTATGAGGAAGGGGCTGAAGAACATATCAAGCAGAATGAGACTACATCATCTGAGGACCAGAGACAGGGACAACAGGGAGTTGTTCATCGACACAAATCTCAACCACCGGTACAAGTTGGAGGGACTGGGACAGAAAGCAGATCAGGTAAATAATTACACAGAATCCAATGTAATATGTTACGTTTCTCTCACTTGCTATTTTCATTTGATTGTTTGTCCTTTCTATTATCAAGAACCGAATCGAGTTCAAGATGCACTTTTTTCTTGCCCTTCACCAAGTTTTCTCTTTCGCTCCCAACAAGTGTTAAAGGTTATCACTTTAAGATAAAAACTACTTTATTTCTGGTTTTTGAAGGCTGCAAACCTCCGATTCTGAGTTTCTTTTCAGCGCATAGATATCCGGTTAGCGAGTAGACTTGTTTGCAGTACTTAAATATGGAGGGAAGTAATTATTTTTCTTCTTCAGGCTAGTTAAATAAAAATTATGTTAATATGCGTGCACTAAACGATTCGTGTTGCTGAATTAACATGGCAAGTGATTTGAAATAAGTTTATTGTTCAATTTTCAAAGCCAAAAAAAATCGGCATTACTGTGGCATGTTATTAAGGGTCAGAGGTCTCAATACAAATTGTCCCGAAATTGTTCAGATTTCTCTCTATTTCCATAAAAAAATTGTGCTCGAGCTAGTCCTACTAATACATGACATAAATTAAACGTTGTTCTGATTCATGGCTCCGGAGGATTTCTTAAGGGAAGATAACATTCGACAATTATTCCCGACTGACTGACGCATGCGATAATTGACTATACTTTAAATAATTATGTGAACTAATCATTATGAGTGTTTCTTTGTTCGATATATTTAAAAGTAGAAAGTAAAAGTAAACATAATTTTGTTATTGGCGGAATAATAGAAATTTGAAAATCTAATAAACTAGAAAATCTATAATACATGATAAGCACCGACAGGACATCTTTAATCATTCGGCAATAAAGAAACTGTGTGCAGACCAGCACGCGCGGTCTAAAACATGCAGTCCGACCATTAGGCCCCCCCCCAAAAAAGTCTCCGGTTTCTGGTATGGAGCTTGCCCAAAAAGTGATGCGGCGACGCGGCTTTTCTTTTTTTACCTGATTTGTTTTGCTTCAAATGTCGGCTGATGACTGCAAATGGTGCCCGACTAAACTTAGTGCAAATATATGGGAGTCCAAAGAGGCCACACAAAGTTTATTCTTGACCATAACCCAATCTAAAAACACGTTATAAAATTGGGCAGCAGCAGGATTCCAGTCAAACCAGTGAGTTTGGCGGTTTTGAGACATCATCTTTTGTTGAAAAAACACCTTTTTTTCATTTTGCCGACGCGCATGGCTACGGCGACGCGCGCGCATACCAGAAACCGGAGACTTTTTTTTGGCCTTTGGTCATGTTGTGAATGCCACACTTATGATTCAGTAACTGAAAGACGATGATCTTCACGCGGCGCAGGTATGAGTTGATGGAAAAAATACGGACACAGTCCCCAAGCCAGATATAGTCGTGTTTTGGGGGTCGGTTTGGGTCGATTTTCCTCGACTTTGGTCGGGTCGGTCAGTTTTTACGGGGCTCTAATCAATTTTGGTTAAGACGGTAGATGCTCTATATATTAGCGGTAGTACAAGTATTTGGATGACAATTAATGTCACCACCTCCTTTTCCGATGTTATTCAATAAAGACCAACACAGGAATAAGCAAATACCTCAGAAAATCAGATTTGTTTGCTTTTTCTTTGTGTTTAATTTTTCATTTCCTTTTGGAAAATTTCAAACTAAAAGGCATCTATTGCATTGTAGTAACGAAGAGGATCAAGCAGAATGTGACTACATCATCTGAGGACCAGAGGCAGGGACAACAGGGAGCTACTCATCGAGACAAACCGCAACCAGTGACTGGGACAGAAAGCAGATCAGGTAAATAATTACACAGAATCCAATGTAACGTTTTATTGTTCTCTCGTTTGCTATTTTCATTTCATTGTTTGTCCTTTCTATTAACAAGAACCGAATCGAGTTCAAGATGCACTTTTTTCGTGCCCTTCACCAAGTTTTCTCTTTCGCTCCCAGCAAGTGTTAAAGGTTATCAATTTAAGATAAAAACTACTTTATTTCTGGTTTTTGGCGGCCGCAAACCTCCGATTTTGGGTTTCTTTTCAGCCCATAGATATCCGGTTAGCGAGTAGACTTGTTTGCAGTACTTAAATGTGGAGGGAAGTAATTCTGTTTTCTTCTTCAGGCTAGTCTAATAAAAAAAATGTTAATATGCGTGCACAAAACGTTTCGTGTTGCTGAATTAACATGGCATGTGATTTGAAATAAGTTTATTGTTCAATTTTCAAAGCCAAAAAAAAATCGGCATTACTGTGGCATGTTATTAGGGTCAGAGGTCTCAATACAAATTGTCCCAAAATTGTTCAGATTTCTCTCTATTTCCATAAAAAAATTGTGCTCGAGCTAGTCCTACTAAAAAATTACATAATTTAAACGTTGTTCTGATTCATGGCTCCAGAAGATTTTTTAAGGAAATATAACATTCGACAATTATTCCCTGACTGACTGACGCATGCGATAATTGACTATACATTAAATAATTATGTGAACTAATCATTATGAGTGTTTCTTTGTTTGATTATTGAAAAGTGCATGGAAAGTAAAAGTAAACATAATTTTGTTATTGGTAGAATTATAGAAATTTGAAAATGTAATAACTTAGAAAATGTATAATACATGATTATAAGCACCGACAGGACATTTTTAATCATTCGGCAATAAAGAAATTGTTTGCAGTCTGCATGTTTGAAACATGCAGGCCGACCATTAGGTCATGTTGTGAATGCCTGCACGGTATGGTTCGGTAACTAAGAGAGACGATGATCTTCACGCGGCGCAGGTATGAGTTGATGGGCAAAATACGGACACAGTCCCCAAGCCAGATATAGTCGTGTTTTTTTTCGGGTCGGCTTGGGTCGGTTTTCCTTGACTTTGGTCGGGTCAGGTCGGGTCAGTCAGTTTTTATGGGGCTCAAATCGGTTTTGGTTCGGATTCGGTTGATATCTTTAATGTTTTGGGTCGGTTTGGTTGACCCAACAAAGTCAAGGAACCCGACCCGATGCAGAATACTAGTACGCACGTCCCTTTATCTTTGGACGTCACAACCGGACTATCTTTAGGGATAATCAGAAAAAAAATGTACACGCTCTCGTTCTGAATACATTCTGACAATGAAAATTATGACTTCAAATTAAATTGAAGGCACTTTGTTCATGTTGCAATGTCATTGTATTCTTTTATAGGTACACTACCT